CTGCTAGGTCCCCGTGAGTGTACACGTCCCGGGGGTTCAGCTCTTAGAAAGTTGTTTGGTAGCTTTGGGTGCCGGTTAGCAGTACCCTGCCTGGGATTACCTGAGTGCGAGTCCTCTTAAAGTAAACGCTCGGGACCCTGGGAAACCCCTGGGGGCGCGCGGGTCCGATGGATGTGACCCCGGAGCCCCCCCTCGCTTCCAGCGAGTTTGAGGGTTGCTCTCACCTTTTGTCTCTGGGTGACTCTCTGTTTTGCCTCAGTCTGCTGCCTGTGGGGACTTCGACCCGGAGTCCTGCGAGTTTGGTTGCTCGTTGTGGCCTGGTTACCCAGTTGTGCTAACAAAGCGGGTGCGGGCAGCAGGGGCGTTGCACTTGAGCCTTGGTGGTGGCAACGTTCTCGTGGTTTCCTCCCCGGGAGCCCCGGGGCTGCCCCGTTGTAGTTCGTTTTGGGACTTGGGGGTGTTGGTTGCTTCGGTTCCATCCACGCCCCCTTGTCTTTCCCCTGGTTCACCCTTCCTGCCTGCATCCGGTTCCTTACCGTCTGTAGGTTCGGGGCGGGGTTTTTGGTGGTGTTGAGACTCGGGCAGTCTCGGGGAATTCCCCTTCCGGGGTAGTGACGGGGGCATTTGAGCCTGTTCCTCCAGCCGTGTTGTATGAGTCTGCCAGTGGGCTCCCTTCCTTAGTGTTTTCACGGCTGCCCCGGTTTTCTGGTACGGCCGGGGCTTTGGGGGAACGGCTCGGCCCTGGGGCCTGTCGTGTAGGTTCCCGGGGCTGGGGAGGGGCTGACTTGGGGGGGCCTTGGCCCCGTTAGACCCCGTGGGGGTTTTTATCCCCCTCTAGGCGGAGCTTGTGATTACGCGGAGTGGGGTCTTTCCTCCCAACTCGCCGTACGTGCTGTTGGATGTCGGCCCCTCCCCGGGCTCGGTTCCTTGGCCTTTGAGTCGGTTGGTTCCGTCCTGTGGGTGGATGTTTCCTCCCCCCCCCCTTTTTGGGACGGTGTTTTTGTCATGTTTCCCCGTTCGATGGGGTTCTGCGTGACTTCTGATCTCGGGTGCGCCTGCGCCTTCGTGTGCCTTTGGGACTAGTGTTGGCTTCTGTGTTCTCGAGGGTACAGGAAGGTTTTTCGCTACTTCCCGCATTATTGGAACGTCTGTCGGCTCCTCGTGCTTGTCGCCCTGTTGGGCTACTTGTCGCCCGGTTGGGCTACTTGTCGCCCGGTTGGGCTACTTGTCGCCCGGTTGGGCTACTTGTCGCCTGGTTGGGCTACTTGTCGCCCGGTTGGGCTACTTGTCGCCCGGTTGGGTTCCTTTTTGAACTCTTTGCTTCTTTGGCCGGTTTTATTGTTCCTGCGTCCTCTTTTGGCTCCTTTTCTCGTGCAGTAGTCCTGGCTGGCGCCTTCCCGCAGGGAGGGTGTGCGGTTCGGCCAGCGTGTTATGCGCATGCGCCGTGGAGTTTGTTTTGGTCTGGGCGGTGTTTCAGTGCTGGGGTTTTGCGCCCTTTTTTGCTACAGTGCTTCGCCTCTCGTTCTTCTCCCTGGCTGCGGTATGTGCCCCTTCGCGCCGGGGGTGTCCTGGTTCCCAGTTGTGGGGAGGACACCGCGGTTTTCCCTGTGTCATGGGTGTGGACCGCCTCCTTCGCCTCTCCCTGTTCTCCTGCGGGTCCGGTAGGGTCCGGCTCTGGCGTCTTCACCTGGCGGTGCTCCCAAGTTCATCTGGGCACGGTTGAGTCGTGTCAAGTTCGTGCCACCATTCGCCAGGTGAGTTTCTGCGGTCTGGCGTCTTTTGGCCGGGCGCTGGATGCGGCGGTGTTTATATACCTGTCTTTATTTAGGTATATTTTTGTACGACTGAGACCGTTCGCACACCAGTGACTGTCCCTTTATCACCTCTTCCTGTCCCCCTCATGTGCATGTCCAACCCATGCTGGAGTCATTCAGGGGACCCTCCTTTTTTAATGTTGTGAGGTGTGGGGGTTGTAGGGTTGGTTCTGTACTCACCTGGTAAGGCTCCTGGCTGTGCTTGCAGAATTTGAGCTCTGGCTCTTGGGTCCCGCCTATCTGGTAGAACTTGCGGGATAGTACCAGTGGAGTGCAGTGGTGCTATTGGCACTTTTGGGGAACACTGTATTACCATCAGTGGTCTGTGCTTGTTACACGACCTACTTGCGAGCATAAGCCTTCTTGCTGGTTCGTCCGTGGACTTCCAGGGCGCACTGGCCTGTTTTCGTATGGCAGTTCCGGCCCGTCCTGGTTGTGGGGGTATGTGGGCCGGTGGACTGCTCCTAGCAGCTGCCTGGTGGGCCATCCTCTGGCCGGTCTGGCCTGACCTTGGGCCGGGCTTCAGGTGTAAAAGAGCTCCCAGTACCTCATCCAGCAGGTATCGAGCGGGGTTTCTCCGCCGTCGGTCGCCTGGTGCAGGTTTCTGGGCCTGCAGGGTCTTGTCGTGTCTCCGTTGGCCCTGTCTGGGGTCTGCCTGCTCCGTTCTCTGCCTTTGCAGAGGGGAGTTGCTATTTACATGTTGCATGTTGCAGTGGTGCCTGTTGCTGCTGCTGCACGTGTGCATTGGTACCGTGTTTCATGGCGGCGTGTCCTTGTTCCTGTGTCCGGTTGTGGAGTGGCACTTTGCTGCCGTTTTGTGCCTGGGGATTGCGTGGGGGTTTTTGTCCCTGCCTGATTGTCCACCCCTGGTTGTTCTCCTGGGGTTTTTTGTGCTTCTGCTCTTTCTTCCTGCCTCCTCTGCAGCAGGGATGTTCTGCGTGTGTTCTTAGGCGTTGGTCAGCCTGTGTCCTGTGATGTGATTCTTTGTCTCAGTCTATTGCAGTTGTTCGTGCCCCTTGGTTCGGGTCCTGTTCTGGCAGCGACCCTTCCGCCTTCTTTGGTTTTTCTAGCTTGCCCTGCCGTTTTTTTTTTTTTTTTTTTTTTTTTGCGGGGGGGGTCTTGCGATGTCTCGCGTCGGACCCGTCGTTTCTGAACTCCTGGCGGGCTTGCATGCTTTGGGGAGTTTTTCTGTTCGGCAGACGTTCCATCTCCTTGTGCCGCCTGGGTTTCGGTGGTCGCGCCCGAGATCTTCTCGCGGCTCCGCCTTTTTCCTGGGCTCGGGGGGGCCTTGTCGGGGCTGCTTATGTTCTGCCTCGTGTTCTCGCCTCCGGTTGGTGGTCGGGTGGCTTCGTGGTAGGTGTCCCACCTGCGTGCTTCTCTTGGCGGCAGTATGGGGTATTTTGGCGGTCCTTCCTTTTCCTGTCCCTTCTTAGGTGGTTACTCTTGTTAGCTTGGTTTTCTAGTGGGGGTTGGGGGCCGTCGTCTTGCCACATACTGTCGCCTCTTTTCGTGCGGCGCAGGCGGAGCCGCTTCAGCTTGCTTTCGGTCTTGGTGTTGCTTCTGCACCGTTAGTCAGCTGTCTTGTGCGTCGTTTCACCTCCGGCCTGTTTGTGCGCCGCTTGCACCATCCTGGTCTCTAATCAGCGTGCTCTGTCTTCTCCTCGGTTGGTAGTGCCCCTTCGGTTCCGGTGTGTTTTTTCGTCGGCTCTTTCCTTTGGACCTTTGCCTCTGGGGGTCGAGTCGCTGTGTTTTCTTGCTCCTTCGGTTTTAGCGTTTTGGTTGTTTGATGGCAGCAGTCTCCATCTTTTCTGGCGCAGGGTGGGGCTGCTGCATTCTGGAGGGGTCCAGGGTTTGTTGGTGCTTCGTTGGTCGGGCCGGGGGTGTGTCATTTATGTGTTCAGTGGCGGCCCTCCGCTGTTGTTTGCATGCCACGGCGTTTGGGTCCGGAGCGCGTTTTGCGTTGATCCGGTTCTGTTCTTCCCGGTTCGCGGGTGATAGTGTCCCGGGTGGTCAGCCGTGTTCTTGCGGCTAAGCTGCCTGTGTTCTTCCCTCATGCCTGTGGCGTTCGTGGCTTCGCTGCTCTCGCTTCCGTCCGGGCGACGTGGCCTTGCAGTCTTTCGGGCATGGATTTTTGGTGTTCGTGCAGGGGCCTTGCTGCTCGTGGTTCTCGTGTTGTTCCCGGGATTTTCGGGGCTGTGGCGCCTTGGGTTGGCGTTTGCTGCCGGTTGTCTCGCCTGCTTGGGGGGTGCGTGGTGTCCGCCTCCCGGTTTTGTCCCTTTGACCTTCCTCTGTGGGTAGTTAGCTCCGGGGAGCCGACGGGGCTCCCCCCAGAAAACCAGCATTGAATGTAATGAAACGCCATTTTCTGGGTGAGACCCGGAGGCTCCCTAGCAACCCTCCCTCCCTCCGGTCGGCGTTTTTCGCGTGTTTTGACATCCAGCCTCAGAACTGATGGGTGGATAGCCGGCGTGGGAGGTCTGGGGCTCCCCCTTCCCCCTCCCGGGGAGGGGGGAGCTGCGCAGACAGCGGCGCGGTGACGTATGACGTCATACTAGTTTCCTTGTTTTCTGTTGAAGAGTTCTATCCCCTAGTTCGGCTTAGGTAGCAATTTTCACCAGAATAGGGGTTTGTTTTGGAATGCTTACCTTTCTGGATGCTTGACCAGGTCGATGGCAGACATAGAATGCTTCCAACCACACGGGGGTTTCTATAGGCCATTGCTCCCCTTGCCTCTCTGAGGGGGCCAGGTTCTGGCTCGTGGTCCCCGGTAGGCCCTAGAACTCCATACACATGACTGATGCCAAAATCTGACATTAGCATATCAGCCGGTAAAGCTCCGGGGAGCCGACGGGGCTCCCCCCAGAAAATGGCGTTTCATTACATTCAACGCTGGTTTTATTTTACTTTTATTTATTTGATTTACTGTACTGTGTTTGTTGGAGTGCATTCTTTCCATCAATATAATCTTCCAGTCATACAAGGGGTGAGGGGAGGGGTTGTGTTCCAAGAACCACAGAAATATCCGCAGAAGAGGGCTGTTTGTCCCAAGCATTTTAGATAAAAGTGATGCCACTGTTTAACAATAAAACCATAGTATTTGAAGAGCAATTAGATTAATATGCATTTTGGTACACTTAAAAATTAGGACACTTATTTAATAGCTTCTTACTTTACAACAATTTCCAGGAGCTTACAAGTACAGCAGTGCAAGATGATCTTCCTTCTAAGTTAAGAGGATCCCCACAAAAAGTAGCAGGATATACTTGCAAGGATGTAACGTCATGCAAAGCTATGGCATCGCCACACAAGACTATGGCATCGCCACGCAAGACTATGGCATCGCCACGCAAGACTATAGCATCCCCACGCAAGATAATGGTATCCCCAAACAAGACTATCGCATCGCCTCGCAAGACTGTGGCAGTTCCATGCAAAATTATGGAATCTACTTGCAGAACTATGGAATCTCCATCTAAATCTAAGAAATCTCCTGCAAAGAAGATGAAATTAAGCAATGAACCGTCTCTGCCAAAGAGAGGCCTTCGTCCACCTCTTGTAGTTATTTTAGAGGATGTGGAAAGTTTTCCTGCAAATATTCTTCATGACCTCATTCTTATCTGTAGGTATGTATACTGTATGTCAGTAAGTTTTGACTGCATGAGAGACCTTTCCTGAGCTTCCAGATTTGTAACCCTTCCTAAAGTAAGGTCCTGTGTCCTTTAACAGGAGTCTGCTACAGTCAGGCAGGATAACATATTGACACTGATGCCACAGGAAATTTTATAATGGTCTCATCAAGGTTATTATAGCTTGTAGGGAGTTATGGGATAATACTCATTCCAGTCCAGAATGACTGACAGAGGTCACTTCATAAAAAAACTTGAGGCCCTTGGGAACTTTTCCTAAGGATTATTGGTGTTCTTGCTGGTTACCAGTTGGTCAGCCTGGCACCATACCCTGAGCGCCATGAGGCCCCACCACCATAATCACCTTTGGCTGCCCTGATGTAAGTCATCTCACTCACTTTCTAACTGTTGTCCCTTTTGCAGTTGGCAGGCCAGGACTGGGTTTTTAGTCAATTTTCACATTTTTTCGGATGTCATGGGACACCGCACCCGAGTGCTGGGGGAAACTGCACCCGAGTGTTGGGGAAACCACACCTGAGTGTCGGGGGGAAACTGCACCCGAGTGTTGGGGAAACCACACCTGAGTGTCGGGGGAAACTGCACCCGAGTGTTGGGGAAACCACACCTGAGTGTCGGGGGGAAACTGCACCCGAGTGTTGGGGAAACCACACCTGAGTGTCGGGGGGGAAACTGCACCCGAGTGTTGGGGAAACCACACCCGAGTGTCGGGAAAACTGTACCAGAGTATCAGGAATTTTAGTGCGCACCAAACACTGCAATTTTGTAGTTAAGATGTCCATGGTATTGTATGTATAGTGCCCATTCTGCTGTTATTTTATAGAACAGTGTTTCCTCTTCTGATATCAACCTATTTAGTGCTTCAGGTCTGTGCCACAACCGCAGACCTTCCTCTATTTTGATAGTGGGGGTGGGGGCCGGTCTTGATCCTGGTAGGGTATTTTATTGCAGTGTCTTGAGGGTGTGTTCTAGGTTCTGGAGTGAGTATTATGTTTTCCACAGTTAGATACCCCGGATGTCTATGTGAGGTTCCCAGTTCCTCTTCATGATGCATTTCTGGCCTCCTGTTGGGGATTCCTCCAGATGTTTTTACCTTGATTCCCTAGCTGGGTACTCCAGTTGAGTCCTCCCGGAGGTCTTTCTAGGCTACTCAGGTGTGTTTTCTGTTTTTTTCAGGTTTCTAGTCTGGACCTCTGGGGGATGGGTGCCTGGTTGTCGGGTGTACCCTTGGTGCCTATTTGAATTTAACATTTTCCCTTGTGTATGTTTCTTGACTTTACCCATGGGTATGCCTTGAATACTTTACTTTGGCTTTTCTAATGAGAGTGCTATGTCCTGCAGCAGTTCTCTGATTATCCTGAGCAAGAATTTTGTCATTATCAGGAGGGAAATTTTCCATTCTGAGTGGCTCCTTGATTACTTCCATTCCCACCCTGTTGGTCTAGGATTTCCAAAGCATTCTTTGGTGTCTCAAGATTTATGTGAAGACGCACTGGCTCTCAAACCTAGTAGTGGTGACTTTACTGCCAGCAGGTGGCAGTCAGGTAACAGCTACTTTTCTCATTAGTTAGCAGATCTATAAATGGTATTCTTATGTATCTAGTTATTATTGGGAGATGACTGTTTGGAGGTGCCATTAAGCTATTGAAGCTTAATGGTTTATTCATGGTAGGCCTACAGTACGTAAATCTGCCTCAGCGCCTAGCATACCCTCACGCAGCTCCAGCAGAAGCAGCGGACGACGTAGCCGTAGTTTTGGTGCTCATGGTGGTGTTGGCCGTGGTGTTGGCGCCAACACTAAACCCCCGGGTGTACTTGTGTGGGAGGATTGCACCACATTTGTCCCTCAAATACCAACATTTGATGATAGTGATTTTGGTGTTACACCATTATTCCCATATACTGGTGATGATATGGCAGACATGGAATATTTTCAGGCATATTTTGACGATGTATTCATGACGCATCTTGTGACTGAGACAAACAGGTTCGCTCACAGCCTCATAGACGAAGGCATTTTACCTGCCTCACGCCTCATACGATAGAAGGACACGACAATCGACGAAATGTATGAGTTTCTGGCACTCTGTATGATGATGAAGCACTCTGAGAAAGCTGTCATCCAGGGTTATTGGAGCAAAGACAGCCTTGTTCCATCGCCTGTGTTCAACCGGTACATGTCGCATGATAGGTTTCTCTTGATTCTCAGGTGCCTGCATTTTGAGAATAATGCAAATGAGGACAGACACGACAGACTGTGGAAAGTACGGAAGATGTTCAGTGGCATGAGAGGGAAGTTCAGGGATTATTTTGTACCTGGACAGAATGTGGTTATTGACAAGTCGCTTGTACTGTTCAAGGGGTAACTGGCATTCAAGCAGTACACCCCATCAAAGCGGCACCGATTTGGACTGAAGTTTTTTGTGCTGTGCGACTGAGACTGGTATCGTCTTGGACATATTATATTCTGGTACAGACGTCGACATACCGGCTCAAGACGAACACGGGTTCTCTTTAGTGTCGTAAAAACCCTGATGGAACCGCTGCTGAACAAGGGGCATGTACTGTTCACTGACAACTATTACACCAGCCCCTTGTTGACCAGATACCTCCTTGCCCACAACACCGGCGTATGTGGCACTGTGAAGAGCCACAGGAAGGAAATGCCAGTGTTCGGTATAGCTATAGCCGCGGGTGAGTGCCAGCTGCGCAAGTGTGACAATACCCTGTCAGTGCAGTGGAAGGACAGACGCGAGGTGAATATGCTGACTACGATTCACACCGGTGCCATGATGGACAGTGGAAAAGTCCACTTTCAGACACGCAACACCGTGTATAAGCCAGACTGTGTCATAGACTATAACCTGAACATGCGCTTCGTCGATAAGTGTGACATGATGCTTGGTGGAGTGGAGTGCGTGCGCAAGTCTGTGAAGTGGACGAAAAAGTTCTTCTTCCACCTCATGGATGTTGCAGTGCTCAACTGCTTCAATATGTACCTAGTAAAATCTGGCAGGAGACCGTCTATACGTACATTCAGTGCTGGTGTTGTGTCACAGCTGCTAGTAAAGTATGGCAAGGAAGGTTCTGTTGTACCGCGTGGAGTGCAAGCAACAATGCCACATGCAGCTCCAAACAGATTGAGGGGTAATAAGAACTTCGGAGTACATATGCTCGAGTATATGCCAGGCACAGCATCACGGGAGAAGGGTAAACGTGCCTGTATAGTATGCAGGAACACTACCCGCAGAGAACAGAAACGAAGATGTATCAGCACCTGGTGCGTGGAGTGCAAGGTGCCACTCTGCCCCGTTGGCTGTTTCGCAGCATATCACATACTCGCGGAATACTGAGTGTGTTTATGGTGTGTGTATATAGTGTGTGATACTGTACAGTGTGTATATAAAGTGTAAATATAAATATATTAGGCATGATGCATTGGAAATTGTGCAAGATAAGTGAACTTGTTTGCGATGCACGTAACACAGTGTCTACGGACAGTACGGATGTTGTACTGCGATATTATAGTGTACGTGTTCATTATACATTGGATTGGCACATAAAAACAATGAAAATGTATTTGGAAAGGTGCGCAAAAAATGAATGAAAATATATTCGCGGCAACTCGCGTGCCCCGCCCCGAGGGCCCCACCGCCCCCGAGAGCTTACGGCACGGGCGCACAGGGAATGATGACGTCACGCCCCAACTTACGGACCTCATAGCAGCCAAAGTAAGTACAATTTCGACCTTTTTTTTATATACCCATGCTGAGGGAAGGGTTTTTGACACTTTAAAAAGAAAAAAGAATTTTTTCCAGAGAATTTGTTTCCTGCGCACTGCGGGGGTGTCACATTTGGAGGCAACGCAGTTAAGGGGTTAATATCAACATCAGTATTCAAACAGACACAAAATGCAAATTATCATGATGATAACATCAGTTCTGTAGACAATTTTCATGTGATGAGCGTATTATTTTAACCTTTAGACCGCACAATACATACAAATATGATTTGACAAAAAATAATTTAACACTTTCGCCCGGGCATGACGCAGCATTGCCTCATCCGTTTACTGTTGGTAATACCAGGGATGACGCAGCATTACGTCATGCACTTTAAATAATCGCCAAAAATCAGGTTTTTATCTGATTTTTGTTGGGACTGGTTTTAAAATGCGCGCCGATGTCTTTCCATTTTCTTTGTTGAGCCTCGTGGCCCTCAGGCGGCTTGGCACACGCC